TAACTACAGACTTTAATTTCTTGAGGGTGGAAACAATCACATAAATCTTTGAATGTCTCATGTCTATAAAATATAACACCTGGCACACAGAAAGTTCTCAATAAACGTTTGTTGAATAAATGAACAAATGAGCAAACTGAAAAGCAAAACTGTGCATTCATTTATTTTGTTTTAAATGCCATACATTAAGCCAAAATGTATGTTGTAGTTTTGACATTAACTGAATAGTCAAATAAGTGAGTATGAACATACCACAGATCAGGATTTTGCAATCTGAGGCTCAGAGGCAGCAGGGAATGAACTCTGATATTGTATATTTAAGTGTTTAAGCATGCATGTGAATTTTTCTAGGACAGGCTCTATAACTGTCATCACATTTTCATAAAGGTGTAGGACTACAAAAGGGTTAAAAATTCTAAAGATGCGTTATCAATTTTAAAAAATAAAAAATATAAGTAAACATTACATACAATTTTATGTTGTACTAGAAGTTTTAATCTCCCTTTGATGAATCAGAAAGGCTCCTGGATCTTATGGAGTACCAATGAGTCATTAATCATTCAGTAATTAATAAATTCTTTTTCAACCATGTTACTGTGGAATATGTGGGAGTTAATTATTATACTTTAAGAAATTAAAAGATACTAACTACATAATCATTAATAGGCAACCAATATTACTCAGGCAAAACAAAAATATTCAAACGATTATGCTACATAACATTAATGCATAAATGGCAAGTCATTCTCATAAGTGAAAATAGTACTTTTACAGAGCCAAAATTAGCAATCCAGAGTTAGCTGGAATGTTTAACAGAACAGGAAAAGAAAAAATCCTAGGGCTCTATATCCTATCACTCTATCCTAAGAACTAAAAGTAAGTGAAACAGATAGGAGCTCTTAGAAATCCAATGTTTTGGATACAATTTTAGTAATTTGATTATAATGCTCAGTAAGTAGCTAAAACAGGTGTCCTTTTTCTAAGAAACTGAATAGCATAAGTCTGCTTGTAGAAACACTGTAACATCCAAAACTGTTCAGTTTAATCAAGCTGCTTTTCTAATAGTGAGAATTTTTGATGGGAGGAGGTGTGAAAATAGTTTAGCAACATAGAGCATTCCTGAGGAAAGCTAGGGAGCCACAGGTGATGTGCCACATTACGTGGCATGAAAAGGCTGAGACCTCTAGGGTCTCAAAGTTGGACAGAGAAGAAAATAAAAAAAGAAGTGAACAGTAAAAACTGATGCTATGAATACTCTGACTATTCTCTCCCTTCCTCTGGACTCAAATATTAGGAAGAATAAGCACAAACAGTGTTCTCTCTACTCTTCGCATTTGCTCAGAGTGAGCAGGCATTATGATATTAACCAAGCAAGCAGGACCACATACTATTAACAAGTCTGGATGGATATATTTTATGGCCTGCCTCTACTTACCTTATTTAGCAAGAACAGACAATAAGAACAGAGTAAAGGTGTCTCAAGTTTCAAAAAAAAAATTAAGATACTCCTTAAAATCTGACACAAAGCTAAAATTAAACTCCTTTATACATGTTATCTAAGAAAAATGCCCAATGTTATCTGTGCAGGGCAAAACACTGCACACGTAGCTCTACCTACCCAGCTCTTCAAAGCAAAAGTAACGGTGCGAGAGAAGCAGAAGTAACTGCTTTCAGAGAAGATAACTGCTATAAAATGTCAAAATCCCAAGAATGTGGCAATAACCTTGTCTTCCTATATGAAAGAGGCCACATTATGTACCCCTGCTGAGTCATGATCAAAATCAATTTTGATGATACGATGATCTTTTAATATATGCTGTTTCCATAATCCTTGAGAAATTCTCAGTTTTCATGATGAATCTTATCACAGATGAATAAGAATGTGAGCATCGATAGTCCTTTTAAAAACAGGACTGACAGACTTCTGTAAGAATAAAAGCTACAACTCCTCGAAGACTGAAGATAAAGCTTGGGAAATAAAGCATTTGCTACAGAAATAAGATAGCAGTATGCTACAGGTCATGTATAATCATTATTACAGAGGATGAGAGGAAAGTCAAGAAAAATTTTAGTCAAGAAGGATGCTAAATTGCGCCAAATTGCTTCTACTGCATTGAATTTAACATTTATAAAATGAATTTTAATGAAAAATTCTAGCTAATGATATATAAGAGACTCAACTTTTTTCCATCTATCTAAATTTGAGTTGCATAAAGGTAATTTTCCTACACATAACTATTATGTACATCAAGATGTAATATTTAGGTTGTGGCCCTGTATTTGTGAAATAATGTTGCTTTATATAGTACAAAAAAGGCTCAGCTGTGGATTACTCCTGTACATTTATTTTAGTACTTCTCAGTGGTAATACTAATGAAGTTGATTCTTTCCTGAACACGAAAATCAGTGTTATTTGTCTGACTCTCCTGCAGCATGTTGAAGGATAAATTCTACCAACAGAAAAAAATGTAAGTGTAACTAAAATTATAAGACAGATAGTTTTAAAATGTTACCATCTTGGTAGCAGTAAAGACATCTCGCTGTATCTTCAGACAAATTTTAGAGTTTTAATGAATATATTCAGAAAAAATTGATGACATTCATTTTAATTTAGTATCTCAGAAGAAACAGAGAAACACATTATCTTTAAAATAAAAGTTGGCTTATTTCTACTCATGAATGTTTTTATTAAAGGACTGGATCTAACTATAAATATACCTAAGAGATACAGGATACATAGAATATATAATAAATACTACAGTTTCCCAATGCTTTCATTATATACACGATTTAATAACATTGTCAGAAGAAAATGATTATGCTATCTAATAACAAACTAAAATTGAGTCATCATAGCTGTTTTAAAAACAGCTATAATTTTATTCTGTAATACTTTCATTTCATGATATTTTTGAAAATAATGTATTTGCTGATTAATTTACTAAAAACTTTCAATGATAAGCATTTGAACCATACCAAGTGCAAAAAGTTTTAAAATTATATCTTCTACCAAGTTAGACGAACATTATTACCAGTATTGTAGCTTATTCCTAAATTTGGCAGGCCTATTGAAGCTAGCCAGATAACACTGGCAACTGGAAGAAGACTGCAGTGATTACACTCTACAGGGAATTCACAGAATGGGCAATGTAAAATTCAGGGGAAAAAAATTCGATGATGAGAAGAAACTACTAAGGTGAAAGTATGCATATGTATGTTGAATGGCATGATGGGGTGTGGAAAGTAGACTGCAGAAGAGTAAAGTTGAATGAAAATATTTGAGAAATTCAAACAAAATTTCTCTGCTTCAACCTTAATGTTTAATTCTTCCCCTCCTACTGAAACAACAGAAATCAGGGTTTTCAATAAAACATCCTTTTGCTGTCTTCAGACTTAGCTACCACCTATTTCAAACTTCTCATCTCTAGATTCAATAGTCTTCACATAGCCACTTGCACATAAACTAAGTCTTTACACATTATCAAAATATTCTGTCAACTATACTCCAACAAAAGTTAAAAATAAATAAATAAAAAAACTGAAGCAAATATGGTAAAATCTGCCCAGTAAATATAATATAGGGGTCATTTAATTATTTTCTGTATGTTTGATATATTTCATAATGTAAAAAATATCAAATAATGCTCAAAATAAAATTTTAAAACACACTAAAAAAAAAATGCTGACCACATGAAAATGAGACTTTTCCCCCCATCCACCCCACCAAAGAGTAAACTTAGAGCTCATGCCACAATAAAATTTGCATATGTATAATTTAATAAATTAAATCTTTTAAAAATATTAACTCACTGAGAACATCTTTGTGTTCCCAGCATGAGCCACAGCAGCTGGCAGGCATACAGTCGATAAAGACAGTATTTCATCAACACCACCGTTTCACATTTTTAACATCTCTACAATATGGTTATATCTTACAATTGACAGTGAAGCATAGCTTTTCTTAATGATATATAAAATAATGATGCCTCTTACAAATGTTGCTGTTTCAAATTAGACTAAACAGAGCAATAAACGTTAAATTTCATTGAACTAAATTAAACCAAGGTGAAAGTGCCTGTCTGTTAACTACATTAACTCTCAGAAAGCTGAAATCCACGTTTTTTTGATTCATTCTTTTACATGTTAGTCTGTTTAAAAGCTTACATTTTTATATAGAATAGGTTATATCTCCTTAATTATCTTTAAAAACAACCCAAGTACTATGCCTTTTGACTGGGATGTTTAATCCTTTTTCATTTAAAGTAACTACTGATAGGGAAGAACTTACTCTTGCCATTTTGTTCTTTTCTGTCTGTCTTGTAGCTCTTTTGTCCCTTGTTTCCTCTCTTATGGTCTTCCTTTGTGTTTCACTGATTTTTTTTGTCATGACCTACTCTGATTCCTTTCTCATTTTCTTTTGTGTATCTTCCGTAAGTATTTTCTTTTTGGTTACCACAAAATTTACATAAAACACCTTACAGTTATAACTATCTTAAACTGATAAAAAATAAATTTCTATCATATACAAAAGCTCTACACTTTTACTCCCCTCCCCCAACACATACTTTATGTTACCTAGTCACAATTTACATCTTTTTATGTTGTAACCACTAACACATGTTTACAGGTAGCTCTTTTTTATACTTTTGTCTTTTAACTTCTATGCAAGAATTAAAATGATTTACATAACAGCATTACATATTCTGTACGTGTCTATATATTTACCTTTTCTAGCTTATTCTATACTTTCATAAGCTATTTTATACTTTCATATGCTGTCATGTTGCTGCTTAACATTCTTTTCTTCATTTATTCTCTACAACTTATAGACTATACTTATTTTATAAGTAAAAATGGCCAAAAAATTTGCATCAGTATTGTTTGACAATTATAAATCACAATTAAGTTTCTAAGACTTAGAGTACTGAAGGAGCTGTGTTCCTGAACCAATAAAACTGTTCCAGTCCATTAAAATCTTGACCAATTTTAATAATACCTACCCGTTCCTTTGCTCAGATATGGAGGCTTAAAGAACTTCACAACACCATAGACATTGACAATCATGCCACTCTTAAGTTGATTCAGGGGTGTATATACATAATGTGTGGCTGGAACCTAAAGAAAGACAGTGAATATAAGTATTAAGATTTTAGAATCATGTTATGATCAAATTTGTAAGTTAGCAAACTGATCAGCATTTTTTCCTTCTAAGTGTCTAAAAAGAGACTATAGCCTGAAAAAAGGAGAAATGCACAGCTTATAAAGGTTGCTATATAAACCATCTAGTTTTTCATATAAATAACTTTGATTATAAATGGTGTAATTTGTACACAGCTCTAAAAAATGCAGTTTAAGAGACTTTTGTTCTGGTTTTTAACCTTAACTAATATCACTTCAAAACTTGTGGCATATATTTATTTTTTTTTCCTATACTGCTATGAAGATTTTAATAAGGCCTAAATAAAGCCAGATTTTGATTATAAATGATATAAAGACATTAAACATGGTAATAAAAGAAAAAAATTTTTCTGAAATAACTGTACAGAAGTTTGGAAAGAAAAGGGGAAGTGATTTCACAAGAACGTCTGATGTTAGTCAAACAATCCTGAAAAGGGTTCAGACATCTGGCCCCATCACCCACTCACTTCACTCCCAACTGGAAATAAGGTTACCTATCACACTAAGAGTTAAAATTTTAAAAATCAAATCAAAATGAATTGTTTTTTTCAAGGAAGCTGATCCCTCAGGTCAAACACAAGGGCAGGGCTTGCTTAGAAATCTCATCAAACCATGATATTAAAAAAAAGTAATGAAAGAAAAACGATGGTCAGCATATGGGACAGAATAGAGACAACAGGTACTCAGCTGACAAACTAACTGGATCCAATATATTATCTTAACAAATATCTCCCTAATGTGGAGATGAATGGGAAGGCCAGCACAGCTCAATGACCCTAACCATTATGGTTTTCCAAGTAATGTACTTGTTAATTCACAACCAGCAATCAACATCTTGATTGTAATTTGGCTCTCAATGTAAATAAGCCAGTATGTGTGTGCAGAGCAGCTACGTTATATTCTAATAGTTCAGAATACCTGAGCTTCCTGAAAAACCGTTTTTGCCAAGTTCAGAGGCTCTCTCATTTACTTCTGCCTTACTACAAGTGCATGGATGTATCAAATATTTGAAGCTGACCTATCTATAACAATTTTGAAAAACACTAATATCAGAGTTAATTCATATTTTTTTAAAAGTACATCAATACTTTTATTGGTTACAGTTACCCTAAATAACAAATTTAAGTTATACAATTATGGTAGTATTCAGAATTTAAAACCTGTATCCCGTAGTCACTGTCAACTACAAGCAAAGTCCTTGAACTCTGTCCAATAGAAACTAAAGGTAGAACATAAAATTTATTTTAAGGAGCCCATGGATCGCAACTAAGGAGCCCATGTGCCACAACTAAGGAACCCGCCTGTGCAACTAAGGAGCCCATTTGCCATAACTAAACTTTATCAACATATTACCTTCTTTCCAGTTTCACTCAGCTACAAGTAGCTCACCTTTAAAAATGGGAACCTTCCCATTGCTATGAGATGACAAAATTTTATAAAATATTGAAAATATGATTTAAAAGAAAAAGCAAAATATATCAAAAGTATAATAAAATTCTTTACTTAAAATTACATAATTTGTCAAACAATTCAGCACATAACAATCTGTTTAAATATAAGCTGATGAAAAGCAAAAGAAATGAATTTGCCTAAGATTTAAAAGGAGTAAAAATCCCAGTGTCTTCACACAATAAAACTTCTTTTCCATTTTAATTTTCTTGTGTACGTAACTTCTGCAAAATATCAGCAAATATTCCAGACAACAGATGAACCAGGTATTAATTACCAGGGAAATATATAACTCAAATGTAAAATCATTATATATCAAAAAAGTAGAGATTATGTTTTCCCACTGTATTGATACTATTTCAAAATCAGTCTATAAAGTGGGTCAAATACATATATGTATGTGTGTGTGGGGTGTACATTTCTAAATTAAAATTAATACCATCTTACCAAAGACATTGATTCTGTAGAAAAATCTCTTACGGATTTAACATAAACCTGAAAAAAAAAGAGAGGACTTATTTGTATACAAACATGTCCAATGTGATTACAGACCTTTAACTGTAGTAAAACTACACACTTTATAATATTCCAGTTCACAGAATGGCATAAAGTTATAGCTTACAAATTAAAAGTCGCAGGTACAAAGTTGTCTAAGCTAAGCTTCAGTTTAATTCACCAATTTTAATATCACAGAACCACACCTGGCCCATAAAATGCCCTGTTCAGACAAAAAAATAAAACAAAACAGGCAGATGTTGGTCTGCAGGCACATAGCTTGACCCAACTCTACTTCTCCACCTGACAGCCTTGACCAAACAGGCAGTCTCCAAAAGTGTATGTGTGTTTGTGTGGGGAGGGGGCGGGGGGTGGTGAAGTGAGACGGAGAGGATGAAGACCTTCATAAAGAATGAAATAGGAGGAAATCAGTTTTACCTAAAAAGGGGCACCTGATCAATTTAAGATAAAATCAAGCAGACCATCAAAAGAGGATGACAGTATAACTGCAAAGAATATATTGATCAGGTTTAGAGTGTCTGTGAAGCTTTAAGAATTTCAGTAACAAATAACTATCTTTAAGGGATCCTTCTCTGCTACCTGGAATCATTCTAAATATAAAGCCAAGAAAAGGATTTTTATTTTTAAACTTAAAATATTTAATTACAATAATTCAGTCAGACTAAATAGTTTATCTGCAGATACACAGAAATACTACTTCTATTCCATTACTTTAGCTCATTAAAACTACAATTAGAGACTAAAAAGTTGCATACTTACATAAACAGTTGATTTGAAGTCCTCAGATGCTTTCAAAAATAAGCGAAGTTTACCATCTCTGCTTGTAGATGAAGATGCTGACAAAATAACAAATCCGGCCACTGCAATGGTGTCCTATATAGAAAAAAATAATTTAAAAATCATCAAAATACCATAATTCTGAATGCCATATAGATTCTTATTTTTATTACTATGTAAAAACAGGAATCATTTCTATAAAATGAAAAGCTGGTTAGCCTAAACTTGTTTAATGCTTTCTGAATATAAGATTGAGACTACCACCTCCTACAAAAGGGTATCAGCAATGTAGCCATAGATAAGTACAGTGCTCCTCTTAATGGACCAGGAAAACACTACCTAAATCACTTAGAAATTTTTATTTATCTATTAGGGCTTCAAACATCAATGTTCATCTCAATTTATGTGAATAAGTGTGCATGAATAAACACAACGAAGAGACAGTAATGAGCCAACAGTATTAAGAATGGAAATTAAATGAAACTAAATCTCTGAGAGACTACATTGAGAAAGACATGTCATTATTGCAAAAACTCCATATTGTTATAAAACTAACATGAGCATAAAGATCCAGGGTATGAGACATAAATAGGACATTTCCATTTACATACTAATAAGAACAAAGATACTTTCTTTCCACGTAGGTTTATAATAGTAAGAAGAAGCCAATCTCCATTTATTCCTGCCTCTCTCATTCTTTAGTTAAATCTCTTTTCTTATTTTCCAAATACTGGAACATCCACACTTAGTGAGTCTTGTCTTGCTGTATTTTATACACACACACACACACACACACACACACACACACACACGCACACACGCATGCACACACACACACACACACACACACATATTATTATCTTACTCCTCTAATTTTAACACCAAAACCTTAAGATAAACAGAAATTCCTGGGCCTTAGGCAGCTTCCTTCAATAATCTTAATTTCTACCAAATGGAACTCTTCTGCATTACTGATTTTTATTTTGCACATATGAGTGTGGTGTCAACCCCCAGGAGTCTCTATTTAGGTCCATTAATTAGGCTGTAAGCACCTTGAAGACAAGGGTCATGTCTTATTCTGCTTTGTATTTACAGGGCTTGGCACAAAGTAGGCCCTCCATAAACTATCTGTGAATCTAAGGAAGGATCATAAATGGCCTTTCTAAAATCTCTGGCCCTATCCAGATATTTTAGCTCTGCAAATTTCTGCATTTTATTTTCTTCAGGTGAGACTGCAAACATAATTGTGTCTGTGCTGTTAATGCTAATTAAACACAATGCTTCACAGTTAAGTGGGAGAAAATTTTCCTTCCCACTGAAGATTTTCTATGTTTGTACCATGGTTTAGGCAGTTTTAAAGGGGAATAAAATAAAGAGCAAGAGTGCTTCTGGAATAAATTACTATTATAACTGAAAAATATGCAGTTTTTCCAATTTACCTTTGAACAGTATATTCTGATTTAAATGAAAACTTAAGATTTCAGTCAAAGATGTAAAGTTGTTTAATCAAGCTAACACAGGAGAATAAACAGAAGTAGGGAAATCATTGGTCAGTTCTAAATTCTCTTCAAAATACAAAAAATAACATATCTCATTTTATTTTTTATTTTACTTTAAAATGTCTTAAACATAAATATATGGAAAGATATACACTAAATGAAAGTGTTAGGGGAAGAAATGCATATTTTTCAATTTTTCTGTATAAACCAAACTTAAAGAATAAAAGTATTTCTTTTATGATGGAGAAAACATTTTTAAATAAAGAGAATAAATCATTAAAAGCAAGATATCAGTATTCATAACAAAAATTTTTCAAAAGTCTATTCTAACATTAGCAACAAAACTCAGTAAAAGGTTACAACTTTTCCTCTAGCATACAATCGACAAAATGGAAATAAGAACCAAAAATACTTTTAAAGAACCTACATGCCCGTTGACAGACGAATGGATAAAGAAGATGTGGTACATATATACAATGGAATATTAGCCATAAAAAGGAAATTGGGTCATTTGTAGAGATGTGGATGGATCTAGAGACTGTCCTACGGAGTGAAGTAAGTCAGAAAGAGAAAAACAAATATCGTATATTAACACATATATGTGGAACCTAGAAAAATGGTACAGATGAACCAGTTTGTAGGGCAGAAATAGAGACACAGACGTAGAGAACAAACGTATGGACACCAAGGGGGGAAAGTGGCAGCGGGGGGCAGTGGTGGTGTGATGAATTCGGAGATTGGGATTGACATATAGACACTAATATGTATAAAATAGATAACTAATAAGAACCTGCTGTATAAAAAAAAATAAAATTCAAAACTTCAAAAAAATAGTTATTAAAAAAATTTTAAGCTACAAATTAAACCTATAAAAAATAAATGTTCAATTTATTACGTTTGTTTTATTTTTTTAATTTAATTTTACTTTTAATTTTTATTGGAGTATGGTTGATTTACAATGTTAGTTACAGCGTTAGTTTCAGGTGTACAGCAAAGTGAATCAGTTATACATATACATGTATCCACTCTTTTTTAGATTCTTTCCCCATATATGCCATTACAGAGTACTGAGTAGAGTTCCCTGTGCTATATAGTAGGTCCTTATTAGTTATCTATTTTATATATAGTAGTGTGTATATTTCCATCCCAAACTCCCAATTTATCCCTCCCAAATTTATATTTATAAACATGAATTTATATTTAATTTACACATATAAATTGCACTGAAGGCCCTCAGTGATCTCATCCCAAGTTACTTTGCCTGCTTTATCTCCATATACTTCCATTCAATACAAAATAAATCAGATTCTCTTATATACCCAATGTTTTTCCACATATATTTTTTGCATTTTCTGAGTACCTATCTTTTAAAATCTGGGCTGTAAATGCTTCTTCCCTGGGAGGTTTATCTTAGCTTGTACCCCAAAGAAGGAAGAAGGAAAAATAATTCTTCCTTCCTCTGAACTCTCCTATGCCGCATATTAATATTTTTCATGTGTGTTATTTATAAACTTTCTTAATGTTTTTACTGCCCTGAAAACTCTGTAAGATCCTTGGGACTAAGAATGTCTTATCCATCTGAATATCCCACACAAGTGACTAGTGGAGGCTTCTGTTCATAATCAGTGGTCAACAAATATTTGTTGAATAAATTAATCAACACTGGTAGAAACTGAAATACAGATCTAAACAAAAGAGAAAAAAATAAATGGCTTAGGATTCATGTCCCATCAATTTATTAATCATAATGACTTTCCAATTAATTCAAATACACAGAGGATTAGAAACATAAATATATAATAGGCTGTTTTAGCTTGTATAAACACTCATTAGATTGAGTTGAAAATGAGATTTAACACACACTGTTCTAAGTTTCTGAGAAGAGCACAGCATACTGAAGCCATTCAAACAAGAATGGGAATTACACAGTTCAGTGGTGAGACTAAAGTATTCTGATATGTCAGAGTAGGTGCCTATCTCAGTCTGCTGAAAACAGTATTAGAAAACCAGCTTGAGAAGCATAACCCTGCTGCTAAAAATGATAAGGTTTTAATTGCTATCTTTGCATCAAAGTTATAAAAGTGAAAACACATTTGAAATGAAATCTTTGAAATAACTCGGCATACTCAGATATCAGCAAAGCAGTCATTTCCCTTTTGTCACAGTGCCTTAGATAGATTAAGCCCTCATCATTAGACAATTTTCAGTGTAGCCAACAGGAATATTTCTACCGCAAACGAGTTGCAGAGAAAATGAGTGAAATAAATACGGGTCTTTTTAACGTAAGCGTTCTTTAAAAATGAACAATTGAAGGAAAAAAAATCAGACAACTTACTTGCATATAAACAACCATGGTTTTTACATGCTAATATCTCCCAATGAGGAACACAATCAGTGGTGAAATAGGAAGCAAACCAATAGGTAACAAAAATACACAAAACCAGTGTATTAATTTGCTTATTTTTAATGGATAACATACTAAAAATTCTCAAGTCATCACTGAGCAGGAAAAGGGCAAAGAAAATATGAAACAGTTGATAATCCAAAAAGAAAAACTTATCTGACTTTAACAGGCATTAAGTAATTTTTACTATACTGACCTTGCAAATACTGTTAGGTTATCACATCTTAAAACACTGTTAAAGAGTGAAAGGGTACAGGGAAAAACCAGGGACCTGATGTCATTGATAGTGCAGTGACTGACAGAAAATGTTTCTTTAGCATAATAAATGTATTTCATGTGTATTAGCACTTATTGGATCATGTAACACCAAGGACATAATTGGCATAAAAACCAAAATCTTTAAATGGTCTATAAATCATTTTATGATCTGATGCCCACCCAGCTCACCAGCCGCATTTCGTGTGACTCACTCTGGAACTCTGCCTTACTATAATTCCTTAGCATTCCAGGATCCTCACTCAGGGCCTCTGTATATGCTGTTCTCTCTTACTTATCTACTCTCCCCGTACCCCTATGTTCATTCTTTCGGCTATTTTTCTCATTCTGCTACTCAATCTTCTTAGTACATATCATATCTGGATAAAATAATTAATTACATAATAGTTGTTTAATTCCACTCTTCTCCATTGAAAACTATTCCATGAAAGCAAGGTCCATAACTGTCTTATTCAGTTAAAATGTCTCTGACATGGAGCAGACAAAAAACATTCAACAAGTGTTTAGACAACTCAATGAATACCTAAATATATGAATATACACACACAAACACACAGACATTACATAAAATATACCTTCATTAAATCTTAACATAAACTATACAACTACTACAAAACTTACTTCATAGAATCTTAGCATTTTAGAATTGTGAAGGACCTTAGAGATCGCATAATCAAACACCTTCATCTTTCAGATAAGAAAATAAGGGCCAGAGAGAATAAATGAGCAGTTTAAGGTCACACACAGCTAATTAGTTGTAGACTAAGACAAGAACCCAGATCTCCTGACTTCTATGGTAGGTACTACTCTATCTCCTCTTTCAGAACTAAATCTTATAGGAATGGGAAAAAACGTATTAACAAATGTCTGTAACTTTGACAGTTTTGTAATAAGACCTTTTTTTAAACTTTTAAAAT